TTTTGGACCAGGTTTCATCATTGAGGATTATTTCTCTTTCCTGAAGGAACTTTAGGAAAATGGTAAATGGCCTGTATTTGTATAGCGCTTTAGGGAAATGTTATATGGGGCCCAGAGTAGGAAAAATACAACCACTATACAGATGATCAGCTTGACAATCTTCTTTGCGGTCCTCATGTTTACCAGCCAGCAAGGGAATCACGAGACTCAGCACATTTGTGGTGAACAAATCATAACGCTCCCATATCATAACGCTTTCTTCAGGATAGTCACACTTCACCCCTTGGGATTCCTGTTCTTTTGCCTTTCTGAAGATAAAATCCGGCAGAGAGACAAACAAGCTCAGCATCCAAACAAGCACGTTCAGAATGATGGAAGCCCTCATTGTGCGAGCCCTGTGAGTGTGCACAATGATCGTGTAGTGGTCCAGTGTCATGACAACCATGAAGAAGATGCTGCTGAAGAAGCCAATGTGGTGAGACCCGGAGATCAAACGGCACATGAAGTTTCCAAAAGTCCACTGGGTGAGATGATTGTAGATGTTAGCAGATATAAAGGATATAAAGGACACCTTCAAAGCGATTGTGGCAGTACGTATCTTTTTACTTTTCACAAAAGATGTTGAAATCAAAAGATCTTTAGACGATATATAAAACAGAAAACATGAATTATGGTATTATTTAAGTTGCAACATTAGGATTTCAATCCAAACAGCAGTGTGTACAGCCTTATATATGTTACACATTATAAAAATATTACAAATATTACACAACAAATATACAGAAACTCTGTATTACTGTTAAAATGTATTCACCCAACATATCTCAGTGGTGTCTTTTCCAACCACGTGAAGTCAGGAATTGCACTTCAGCTGCTTTTTTCTGTTTTACTGTTGTTATCCTATTAGATATGTAGAAATGAACAATCTGTCTCACTGTCAGCAGTCTGATAAAGAGGAGCACAACACAGAAATGCAGAATTCACTTCCTGTACGTGCCCAAGTGAGATCGTTATCAGGAGTCTGTTCAACATCTAGACAGCCAAAAAATACTTCAAAGAACAACGAAGCATGCGGTGACACAAATTGACACCTTCACAAAATGACTGCTGGTTTTTACCTAATGTGTCACAAAGTTTAATAATATCATTTTCACTACTATTATTACTTGTTTTTTCTTCTTCTTGGTCTCATTGTCACATCACTGCTGCACAGCATAGACTCTGCACTCACAGGATACTTTAGCGGGAATCACTTATAATGTAGATGCAGCAAGCTGCTGAATGTATTTCTCTGAGATTTTCATGAGGGTTCATTGTAGCACGTCTCAAGCTACAGGAAACTCCAGCATGATGCTGCAGACACGGTGTTTGCTGGCCAACACGTGACCTTGTTATTGCGTAGTTTGACTGATTACTGTCTCTCTCTCCCCACCCACACCCATCCCAGCGTGCTACTGCTTTAAATATGGAAAAGACCTGATTAGTTTGTCAGTGACACCTGTGCCAGCTAGCCTGCTCTGTCACTGCCCCCAAAACTCACTACAATACCTCTCCCCTGCAGCTGAGCCACAAGCCACACTTCACCACCAGGGAGCCTAAGCTACTGTAGCCATTCTAATGCTCTAATAACTTTTGACTGATGTACACCCCTCCCTTATCTGCTGGAACAAAATGGCCTTAGCCCTATGCTCAAGGCATCACTATGGAGAACAGAATGCCTCCTGGCGCTGCTATGTCCTCTAAACTAGATTCGGGGCAGCCCTCCGGGTGAAGGTGGTCAGAGGGCTGGTTAGTTCCACAAAGTTAGGTACAAACCTAACTTTGTGGTAATAACGGCCAGCCCCAGAAACTGCCTCACCTCTTTTGTTGTCTTGGGATCCAGCAGGTCCCTACTTGTCTTTAGAGCATCTCAAAACAGTATTTATTTATTTTATTTTTTTTAAATACTTCTTAAATGTTCTGAGTGTATTTTAACAACATCTTATGAGGAATTAAAGACCTAAAGTTGAGTTTAACTAGTTGACTTACTTAACTACTCATAACTGTGTGAAAGAACATACTCACTGCAAGTGTATTCTCAGAATGAACAATGGACTTCTTCAATATGACTCCACTTTATGACCCTCATTTGAAGTAAGTTCAAGATCTGCATTATCATTCATTGTTTTCAGAAAACAAAATCCGGATACCAGCTAAATGGATGCTTGGCTTGAATCAACTCAAGTGGAAAGTTAATGACAAATATAAGAACCATAACCAAAAAGAAGTGTATAAAGCTATGCATCCGAAAGTAATGGGGAACTAGATAGAAATATCTGAATGACAGCAAGACAAAGTGCAGGTCTTCTAAAGAAAAAGATCTGATGTCTTTGTATGCTTATTTTGGTTTATTTGTTTGAACTTGTAGGCTCAAAAAAATGTGTGAGAAATCAAACGCTTTCAGGTTGCTATAAACAAATGATGACAAAGTATCCAATACACTTGAAATTCGTAAAAGAAATTAGCATATTGTAAATAGTGAGCATTTACATCTGAAATCTTGTAAGATATAATAGTATATACATATATACTTACTTCCCCTCTCGCCCCTCTACCAAAGGCCTGAGAGCTCAAGGGTCCTGTGCAGTACTTTAGCTGTTCCTAGGACTGCGCTCTTCTGGACAGAGATCTCCAATGTTGTTCCTGGGATCTGCTGGAGCCACTTGCCTAATTTGGGAGTCACCACACCTAGTACTCCGATTACCACTGGGTCTTTCCATGATTGTTCCTCACCTTCCTCCTCATTTTTTGGTTTCTGCTGCCAGAGGTACTCACTGAGCATGTGGTTGGTTAAAGTCAGACTGCTGACTTTAACAGTCTTAAAGTGATGAGGAGTACAAAAAAACAAAAAGCAGATTTCACTTCCTGCATGTGCTTAAGTGAGATCATGACAAATACTTCAAAGAACAACACAGCATATGGTGACACAAATTCACACCTTACAAAATGACTGCTGGTTTTTGCATAACGTATGAGAGAGTTTATTATTATCGTTTCAATAAATATTATTATTTGTTTCTTCCTCTTCTTGGTCTCACTGTCAAAGATTCTACACTTACAGCACAATTTAACGTTTTCTATTCTGATGCTTACCATGAACTTCAGGAGGTCAACTTAACCTCATGTGCATGTCTAAATGCTCTGAGTTGCTGCTACGTGATTGGCTGATTAGATGTTTGCGTTCATGTGCAGTTGAAAAGGCATGTTTTGTTCTTTTTATATGAGGAGTAAGTGTATACTCATACTCTCTTTTAATAACATGCTATATGTTAAAATATGAAATCTCCAAATTATTTGATTCTACATTATTTTTAAATTACTGAACTATTATTCCCAGGTAATTCTTGATGCAGTGGCAAAAACATTTATTTTTACACCTAGAAGACTCATCATGTCTTTATTCTTTTTTTAAAAAAAAAAAGATTAATTTAATTTTACGAGATGAAGGGGCTTGTTGCTGCTTTTCCTGAAATTTACTTCCCCAGATAAAGAGTTGTTTTGTTTGTTTCTTTTTTTTTTTTTCAGATATACTTCTTTAAAAAATCTATAATACTAATCTGTATAAACAACAGTAATTAGAAAGCTTAACTTGATCAACTTTCCCTGAATGTTCTAACTGTTTATGAAATCCACCTCCACTAATGTTCCTCTGTATGACATCATGCTGCTGTTTTATGATGGTGAACAACTACCTCCATCTCAAAGAACTTTTGATCTTCTTTCTTTTCATCTCTGTGTACAGAATTTCTCATTGCAATAACAATGAGAAACAAAAGAACATGCTCGCTGCAAATATTCTTCTCAAAAGGAATAATGTACTTCTCCAGTGTGACAATCCAATTGATGACCTTCAGTTGACATAAGTTTAAGATCTGCAGTATCATTCATTGTCTTCATAAAGCTATAATACAAAATCAGGATAAGAGATGATTGGATGCCTGACTCCAATCAGCTCCATTGGCAAATAATGACAAATACAAGGAACCACAACATAATACAACAAACAAAATAACAATATCAGGCTAAACATCAGAGAGCAATATGGAAGTAGAGAGAATTACGATTCACACATGATTCACACATGCAGCTATTTCAGATCTTCTTTCTTCAGCTATTTCAGATACTCGGAAATTGTTGTATGCTGTTTTTGATGTGCTTCTGCGAAATTGCAAGGTCATAAAAAAGAAGAAGAAGAAAGTTACACATTGAAATAAACAGCAGGTTCAGTTTAACAGACCAGCAAGTTTAGTTCCGCTTGAGAAGGGAAGGGCATTAAATAGTGAGATACTCGAGATTCTGTAAAGCAGCCAGCACAGCTAACAGGTTAATTTTATAAGTAGGCAGCATTTACATTTAGAATTTGATAATTAGAGTCGAAGGTGATTAATATACTGTAAATTGGCAGTGCTAACACACATTAAAGGCATTGAAAAGTAATGAGTACATTTAAATTTTACAGTCAGGGGAAAAAAATACTGTAAGTTCAAAGGTGTACAAACACATTTCGAAGGTGCCACACAGGTGAAGAACACTGTGGTATTTGTCAGATAGAAGTGACCAAATGAATGAAAAAACTATGAGACACAGTTTGCAGTAATAACAGGGTGAAACATTCATGACAAAATACTTACAACTGCCCTCCACCTTCTACAGTTTAAAGGAGGAGGTGATTTCAGAGCCCCTGGACATAACTGAGCTCCTCCTGAATGAGCTGTCTGTCAGATCTCTGCTGTAACCAGGCATCAACTTTTTCAGCAGCTGCAAGGCTCGTCTCATAAACTTCTCTCCCACAAAAGCATATATGATGGGGTTCAGACAGCAGTGAGTGTAAGCTAATGCCTCCGTCACTGTTATTGACAGGTTTATATTTTTGTACCAGGTTTCATCATTGAGGATTATTTCTCTTTCCTGAAGAAACTCCAGGAAAAGGGAAATGTTATATGGAGCCCAGAGCAAGAAAAATACAACCACTATACAGATGATCAGCTTGACGATGCGGTGCTTCTTTGCGGTCCTCATGTTTACCAGCCTGGGGATGATCCTGGAGTAGCAACCTACCACCAGCACGGGAATCACAAGACCCAGCACATTTGTGGTGAACAGGTTGTAACGCTCCCAGATTTTTCTCTCCTCGGGATAGTCACATCCAAACTTCTGGGACTCTTTTGTTTCCTGTATGAAGATAAAATCTGGCAGAGACACAAACAAGCTCAGCATCCAAACGAGCACGGTCAGAATGATGGCTGCCCTCTTTGTGCGATAACGTGCAAC